TAGTCTAGTTTTTATGCATTTCTAAAATATGTACAAATGTTGTAAACCAAATAAGGTTTGTATGTACCCAAGATCAGCCACTAAGTACTTCAAATGGAAAGCAAATCACTTGTAGGTACCCAAATATTTGCAGAGTGTGTCTTGAATGAGCAATTAGATGCCCCACTCGGCCCTGCCAAATTATTTAATGATCTTTTTCGCTTATAAAGATAGACGTTTAATCTACTGAAGCCTTTAAAACACGCCCAGAGCATGGACACTGGCAGCCAAACACATCACAGAGTGCTTGTTAGAAATTACCATTACTTTGTTGAGATAGCCAGCAACATCCCACTGACCTGCAGGGTTGAAAGAAGAAAGATTTAGTGGAAAGAAACCCAACCTCCATCAAAACCAAACATTAAAAAAAAAACCCCAGCCCCGAGATGGTGTTTAATTTAGCGCAAAGGTGAAGGTTGGGCTGGGAAGATGAGAGCTGCATGGGTGGGTCATTGCAGAAACGTCTCATCCCTTCCTGCTCCCTCTCCCTCTGCAGCTTTTCCGATGGGTGGCCAATGAAAACTTATCCTCTTTTTAAATTTATTTTTTCCCCTCTGTTAAACCTGCACAAATGTTAACTTTTCAGAGACTCTGAGGTTCAAAGTGCTGTGCCCAACACAGAGCCCTTTTTAGTTCTGCCTTTGATTTTTATGCACATTTCAGGCTGGTCAGAGAGTACACGGGAGTTTTGCAAGGGTTTTTGTTTAGACTTGGTGGTGGGGTTTAAGCTTTCATGCTGCCAGGCTTTCCAGGATTATTGCCTATTAATTGCCTCTTAATAAAGGTGCTAACCAAGAAAAAGAATATTTTTACCTTGGTGTTAGATTTCCAAACTTGATTGGCTTTATTAAATGGAAAGACAAATAAATTTAAGCCCTGCTCTGAGATATCTTAGCGTAGGACACCAGTGGTTAGAGGTCACCAAGTCACTTGGACTTCCTCCCAACAAAAGCAACATGATTTTTCAGTGTCGAGCCCCACGGCGTCCCGCGGTGCCTTGCACAATTGGTTAGTGTCCACGCCTGCTCCGCGCCGCTCGGAGCGGGGCCGAGCCACTTGCCACACCATGGATGGACGCGGTGGCAGAACTCCTGTGGGCAGGGATGGGGCAGGATCAGCCACCGAGAGAGTTCTGTTATACTCATGGTTTGGAGCCCTGTTTGATCTCCTGCAGCGTATCTGGATAAAAGCAAGTGGTTGGCTGTTCTGTTATTAAAGAAAAAAAATCCCCTTTATATATCAAAAAAAAACCCATCTTTATTTCACCTTGTGAAGGATGTTACAGTTTGGAAGGTAATCTCAGCTCCGATTACCTTTTTTGCATCGGGGTAAGCAAATCCCTTTGTTCTGTGCTTTAGTTTCCTCTGCCTGTGAAATGAGGCTCACAGTGCTTCGCTGGTTACACAGTCCTGTATGGATGTGCCGGGGTTGCCTCCGTGCCTTGGGGTATGGTCCCCAGGCTGCCGAGTAATTTCTCAGCATGGAGATACCAGTATTAAGGTAGGATGCGAGGCCCTTCTTCAGTCCTACTAAAGATTTTGGAGGTGGTCCAAGTAGGTGAGTCATAGCCACAGGCAGAATAGCCAGGTAAGACCATTTTTGGAGAAGAGTGACCATCCCAACATCAGTGTGTTGGCTTTTGTTGTTGGTTTTTGATTTTGTTTTTTTTCATGCCGTGTATGTCTGCCACTCGCTTTAATGCACGTCTCTATTTCTTACTGTTCTCTGAAACGTGCCTCTTGTGTCCTCAATAGCTTTGTACCGTGGGTAGGGATGGGAAATGGTGGAGGTTGAAAACTTTGCACCCTTACGGGGGGGTTCAGCTGTTGAATTTGCAGGTGCAGGTGAGTGCAGCCAGGGATGCATATTCTGAATTTCCTATGAAAGCCCTGAATCGGAGAGGTAGGCTGGGGCAGAAGCGAGGAGGCCAGATGCACCATCTTCATGGTACAACCATAGGGTGCTTGCCTTCCGTTTCCAGGTGTGCGTGGGCTGTAGTCGCACTTCTGGATACCTTTGCCTCCATCGGATTTCCTAGTGTGAATAATGTCTCCGAGGTCTTTTGCCGAGGGATCCCAACGGCATCTCTCTCCGTGTTTAATTTTCTGTCTCCTTGCAGACTTCTCTCTGTAGCGTTTTTCTGCAAAAACCATTTGCTGGCTGCCTTTTGGCACCGCTACAGGCTTCTCCGTGCTGGAACCCCTTTGCCAAAAAAAATGTGGGTGGTGACCCAGTCACTTAGACAACCCATGTTCCAAGAAATAACCTCATGGAAGAGGAGCCATCTTGGGCATGATTTACCGTTCGCCATGGGCTGAACTCTTCTCTTCCTTGGGTAATTACGGCTGAAAGAGCAGCCTCTCACCCAGCCCTCAAAATCAAGGGCATGTTATGTCTTCGAAGTAATATCCGTTCAGCTATGGAGAGTGTGTTTATGTTTCTCATTTTAAAAAGAAGGGGGGGGGGGGGGGGGGGAAAAAAAATTGCTGGAAAAATGTCAAGACTCGATTGGCAATATCCCACTAAACCACAAGTTTGTAGGAGAGAAAACAAAACCGTTGGGTTTTCTGAACTCTGCCTATGTGCGCTTGAAGAAAATGAGTACCATGTAGGTCAGTTATACTCTTATTATAGCTGCGGCAAGCGTACGTATAATTGAAACGTGGAAATACTACCCCATGCTGTTCAATGAATGAAGGGAAAACAAATCTTTATTATTCCTGGGTTCACATAATATATAGGAACACTATTGTCCTTTTCATTTTTTTTTTTCGCCAGTTTTAGCTTTCAGATGTATTTTATTGTCTGTGGGAACATGTGTTTTACAGACCTGTCATGTGAAAGCTATTAACGAGAGGAACTGGAGAAATAACAATAAGCCACGTAACCGTGGCATGTCTACTCCCCGAGTTCAACTGTTACGCCGCTCCTTCAAGTACATGTGAAATTGGATCATGCCAAGTGACATTAGCTCTTCTCCTGCAATTTTTCACTGGGAAACTTAAGGATTTTTTAAGTGGCCTATTAATATTGGGTTGCTGGCATCAGAGGCACAATTTGGGGCCAGGCTGGCGAGGCATCAAAACGGTTAAATGGTGGAATGAAGATCAACTGGATTCACACGAGATGTCCGATTTTATTTACCAAATCTGAGCTGGGCAGGCGGTTCTGAAGCCTTTCCTCGCCGGTTCACACGTGCGGTGGAAACTGTGATGCCCTGCCAAGTGCCATGGGGCCCGGCGCTTGCGATTAACCCATTCGCAGAGATTTTGGAGAGGATCTGAAAGGGGTCCTGAGCGGTGGCCGTGGCTGCTCTTTGGTACTGAGAGGCTTCAGGTCTGTATGTGGTTGTCCCTGCTCACACGGAGCAGATGCTGGGGGCTTTCCTTTTTCTTTGGACTAACAAAACCCCCTAATAATCCCGGATTAGACAAACCTATTAACACGTAGGAAAAGGAGCCAAAATGGGTTGCGCAAAGTGAAATACAGAAAGTGGTTCACGTGGAGATGGGGAGTATTAATTTGATGACACTTTTTAGCTCCCTGGATGGTACCGTTGCTAATCTAGCAGATCGTGATCACTAAAAAAGTACCGTGGCTGAATTTTGGTTGAACCCGACAGCACTCCGTCGTTCTAATTTTTTTTAATTTTAGAAGGAAAAACCCTCTGATGTCTTAGACTTCTAGCTGTGTGAACAAACCCACAGATACTTAGGCAAGTTAGTGGTTGACGAATACACCCTAGTGCTTTCTGTAGGATCTGGGCGTGAGACCTGCTGTCTTGGCCCAAGGACAGCCCGAACCGAGACCTTCTCTCTTGGCCCAAGGACAACCCGATCCGCTCTGCGTTTGTTTTCCCCTTACCTGGGTTTCGCTCTGCAAGTGGGAGGAGGGTTTCCTGTGCCGTGTGGTTTGTGATTTACTCTGAACACAGGTTTCAGGGAATTTGGGGCTTGTTTTGGTGTAGGGGTGTACTGCTCCTCTCCGTGATGGGCTTGATAGGAAAGGTGGATGGGGAAACTGAGGCGAAGGGAGGGACGGTGCCCTGCCCAAGGTAACATCATGGCTGGGAAATACCCCAGGGCTCTCCTTCCAGGTTTGAGACAGCGCTGTATTTCTCTGAAAACCTTAGAAGAACATGGAGTTACACACCTGCAGCAATTTCGAGGTGTTCCCTCCATGGTGTGTGTCCTAACCCATCACCCTGTGTTTCTGAGCACATCTGCTCCATGCCTGGTGCAAAGGTCCAGCCAAGCTGTGCAGACACAGGTCTCCTGCACAGAGGGTTCACAAACAGCATTTAAAAGCAGAATTCAAGTGGCTTTAACGTGACTGAAGGCGAACGGGCTCTGATGGGGAGCTCTTGTGGATGGGCTGGCTGGGTGCCTGATCAGGTTCCCCTTGCATGGATGGGTCAAGGACGGGTGTCCCACAGCTGCTCAAAGCATGTAGTCTTACGGCATTAGTAGGTACAAACACACATATACCCTGTAAATACAGAGAGGAGGGAGCTGAGGAAGGCTGCAGAGGCATAAAAATGATGGGGATGGAGCATAGCTGGGCTGACCAGGTAGGAGAAGCTGTGCTGGTACTGGATCCTCCAGTGTTTGTTTGCAGAGCTCTGGGCAGCCCTGCAGCGAGGCGCTCGGCAGAGCATCGGGCCCTCCCCAGAGAGAGGTGCCAGGTCTGTTTTCATGGCTTTTTGCAGAGGGATTGCTTGAAGGGCCCGTTCCTGTAAGTTAATATTTGCAGTGCAGAAGGCTTAACTGAAACCAGGCAGTGTAGACATCTGATAACCATAAGAGAGGAGATGCTTTTTCCCCGCAAGAGCGACTTGCAAAAACAAATCCCAATGCTGTTCTCTTTGGAAAGATAGCAATATGAAAAGGAAAGCATCAGGAACGGTGCTGCGTGGTTTGCAAGGGGTTTTCTAGCTGGGTCTTTTTTTTTTTTTCCGCGAGTTGCTTGCGTTTGCCTGTATTGCTGATGGGTTTTGTTATTGTCTCCCTTTCTTTCTAGCTGGGTTGCCCTTCCTCATCATTAAAACCAGCACAATCCAGCCCTACCAGCGGGGCTTTTACTGCGATGACGACAGCATCAGGTACCCTCTGAAGACGATGGAGACAATCAACGACGCGGTGCTGTGTGCTGCGGGCATCCTCATTGCCATCCTCGCTGTAAGTTCCGCCTTCGAAACCTCCTCTCCTGTCCCCTGGGCATCCTCGATGGCTTTTTGTCGTCTCTTTAGCTGATGGCACCAACGGCCCATTGGTGGTGGGGGTTTAACGCCGCCTTGCTGGTGTGTCCCTGCTATCTACCGAGGTGCACATCTCCTCTGCATTTATGACTTCCATGTGAGTGTGGAGCTGTAAACATTTGCCAACGAAAGCTTGTAATGGGAGGAATGAGATTACTCTTGAATCCCGTAAACAGGCCCAAAGCTGTTTGGGCAAGTCCGTGAGCTCCACAAGAGCTTTTTCACCCTCCGGTAGGAGTTCAGAGTAGAAGCAAAAAGACTTGAGTGTCAGTAAGGACTTGGCGTGGTTTGTCCCTATGCAAATAACTCTTGGTATTTGCCTATTTTATAAGATTCAAAAAAAAACCAAACCCAAACAGAAAGGATACATCTTTCCAGCCAACTGGTGCCTGGAAAAGTTTCACAGGTTAGTATTAGATTTTTAAGAGATTGTATATTACAGCCATATTAAAAAGACAACTAAAACCTTCCACGGGGAGCATATTCCAGAGTCCTTGCTGTAAAAAGTCATTTATGTACCACCTTACCAATGTGTCCTCACTTCTCTTTTCTTGCCAGGTTTCCTAGAGCTGTGCTAGGAAACGAACGCACAGGGAGAGCTTTATGTGTCAGCCAAAAAAGCTGAATTCAGCCCATGGAGCTGAGCTTCCCTATCCTGGCATATATCTGGTGCTGGGGCAGAAGGCAAGAGCTGTCTTCTGGCTGCTGGTTAAACGCTTCCAGCTGAAGATGAAATTCCCCGATGAAAAGTCCCTAGGTTTTCCTTCTCACCTGCTGCCAGCATAGCTCAGGTGCTTTCCCAGAGGTGCTGCCTTCCTCTTGGTCCTTCAGCTGGGGAGGGATGGAGGTGGCGAGGTCAGGAGCACTTGTTCCCCTCCTAGCTTTCACCTTTCCTCATAGGAGCAATGTCACGGGCAATAGGTATTTTAGGGTGGCACGGTGCCTGCTTTGGTAATATGCCATCCCCAGCCTTGCTGCTCCGTGCTGTGAATATCTCCATCATTTCCTGACCACGTCTACTGACTTAGCAAAGTAGATCCCTGAAACTACCTTATTCCTATGCCCTCTCCCTCCACAAAACAAACCCGAAAGGTGCCAGACTCCCAATTCTATAAACACAGCAGAATTTTACCCTGCAGGTGAATTACCCCCGAGTGTGGAAAAGCCATAAAAATGAAATGAAAAAGCCTCTCATTTTCACATTACTCCCTGAGCTATCGGCGTGCCGGCTCCGTGCGGAGTGTGCTTCTGATCAGTAACGAGGCGGTGGCAAATACAGGAGTTGGAACAGAAACTGGAAACATAATCAGCTGCCTATGTGATCCATCAGCTTTCTACCACGAAATAGCAGGTCAATTAAAAGAGAAAGAAAATCCCCAAAGAATTAGATGTTTCTGCCCTGGTTTTGCTGTGCCCACAACAAATGTAACTTAATAAGGTAAATTCAAAAGCTCGGTTATTTGCTGTTGAGTGATACAAATGGCTAACGAGGAATTGAAGGAACAGATTTCTTTGCTATGGCAGCATGCATGGAAAATTCAAGTCAGCCTGACCTCTTTTTTCAGACGTAACCCAGATACCAGCATTACTGTAGCATAATAGAAATTCCTTCCAAATCCACAAAGCACTGACTCCGCTCCTTTCGCTCACAGCGTTTGAAGGCAGGACAGCGGTTACAAGGACTTCCAGGGAGCCGGCGTTTTGGATGGCACAGCCAAAATTTCACGCCCTTGCTTTACGTGGGCAGTGTAGTAAAAGGTCCAGGTCATGTTTTAAATGGCTAGAGGACACCTAGAATACCCCTTAAATAAACAGCAGAGGCAAAGACCTTTGCTTCGGTCAGGATGTGAGAGGGCATGCGTTTGGTTTTAATACCTATATATTTGCTGACTTCAGGTAAATTTCCAAGCAGATGACCCTGGAGAGGCTCGTGACCCTGGGCTGTGTGCTGTCACACAGCTCCTGACCGCCCTTCCTGCTGGAAGGTGGTTGATTTGATCACCTTGGGCACAGAAGCATGTTGATGGGTCCCCAGGATAGTCAGAGGAAGGTGACATTTTCATCTGCCTGAGCCTCATATGGGTACCGCTGCTCTGGTGCCCCATGTCCTGACACCCAACAGCCTTGAAAGCCTATGAAAAATGCCTAAGAGAATTAATTTCCTAGATGATCTGAGTTACATGGCTGGATTAGCTGGTTGTTTTACAGTTGAAGGTGATACGCTTCGATGTGATTAGTCACAGAGAAGGTTACACCAGAGACATAAGCGATTAGAAAAGCTGTAAAAGTAATGACAGGCTAATTGGATTGCTGGTGATACCTTATGGTAACGATAAAATGGGCACGCACGAGAGCCAAATGTCTGCAAAAGGCATTCACAGACAGAAAAGTTTGATACCGGCTTCTGTACAGTGACCGTCTTTCCTAGATGTGTGTGACAGTCCCCGGGGAGCTGTGCCCATCACATAGGTACAGCATATATCCCATCTGGATGGCTCGCCAGAAGTGCAGGGTGTAAGAAGAGCTTAGTATCTTGAAGACTTGTTTTCTTTTCAGGGTGTCCTTTCAGTTCGTGCACATCTGTGCTGCATTAGTTTTTCACCGTCCTGCTTTATCTGGGGCGGCACTGCCAAAAAAACAAGTTTACCCAGTTTTTAGCTTCTCGTTAAGGTTGAGCCGTGACTTTAACGAAGCAGGGAGGGTTCATGGCTGCCCGGCAGTGTGTTAGCGGGGGAATGAAGTCTCCAATTTACAATCTGCTACATGTGTGCAATTACCGAGACCACCAACAGAGAGAGAAAAATATTAATCCCCAGACTTTTGTTGGTCCCTGTTTAAAATGGTCACATGCCTTTCCCCGGCCCAGAGCCTCGGGTTTACGTGGATCTGTTTGTGAGTTTGGAGCACATCTGCCAGTATCAGATGTCATCCTTAATTTGTCTTGTCTCCGCTCTGCAAAAGCCATGAGTTTTAAGCCTCATGGCTCCCCTTTTCTGCGAATTTAGGCTTTTGGGAGGCTGCAGGCAGTGCAGGAGCATCTGTGTCCATCCAGGACACCCTGGAGTTGCCTCCTGCCAGAGGAGCAGGAGATGCTCCAACCTCCCTCTGTGGTCCTGGCTGCCAGTTTGTGCTAGAAGCTGGTCCAAAATGGAGATAAACCATGGTCCTTGGAGTCCAAGAGAATTAAAGTGATGCTGGAGCTGGTTAGATGCAGCTCCCCAGACAACTCTTGGTCACGACCAGCTTTCCAAGAGTAAATCTCAGTGGTGGCATGTAAACCCCAGATGATGATGCAGCCACCCAAAGTATTTCTATGCGTGGTAGCAGAGCGCTTTGTCTTTATTTTTTATTATTATTGTAGTTGTATCTCTCTTTGATAAAGCCTGCTCAGCTGCAGTTTCAGCTGTCTTAGGTCAGCCTTTGTTTTTTCAAGCCGTGGTACAAGTGAGTTCAAACAATGATACAGCTTCATCTCTCTCAGTCTAATTGCCATACTTTTCCAGTTTATTAGTTTCCAAAGGTCGTGCCAAGCTTTTAAAATAGGTAAGCAGGGGAGCCTCGTCTCCTGCATGCCGCTGGCAGGCGGCCATGCCGGGAGGAATATTGTTGGCTGCCCCAGAAAGGGATTAACATGAAGGCATTTTTTCTGACAGTTAATTTTACATATCACAGTCCTTGTGACTACAGAGAGGCAGGGACGAGGGGGCAGCCGAGGAAAAAAAACCTGCCTCGATTTATTACTTGGGTATAAAAACATTTCAAGTAATGAATAAAATCCTAAAGCTGTAAATCTGGAGCTCAAAAACTAGGTGTGTAACGTGAAGGAGAACAATTTAAGCCTTTGCCTCTTTGGGAGAGGTGAGACATTTGGACTTCGTTTCACAGCCTGATTTTCATTAACCTGCCTTTTTTGGGTCGGGATTATGAGAAGTCAGGTCCTCCGCTCCCTGACTGTGATTTATGGCCATATTGTCAAACACGAGCACCCTGGTCACAAGAAATGCAAAATTTGCTGCCATGCAACGCCAAGACCCCATGAAATGCCCAGAAATAGCTGGTGTTTGCAGGAGCTTTGAACATCTTGAGTTGGGTCTGGTGGTGGCAAATTTTGGGCCAGAATCTGAAAAGTTTGGGTCCTTCTGAGTCTTCCCCTGGTGTGTTCATGGTTTTCAGAGATGAAGATAAGCAGGTTGCTTGTTGGTTTTCTTGCAAAATCAGTTTGGTAAGAGGGTAGTGGATCTGGCCTCTCCTTCCCAAACACACACTAATTATTTATCTGATTTATGTTAATGTTTTTTTCCACTATACTGGTGTAGATCTGGGGCCCTGTTTAATTTCTACAAAGATGTGCCAACATGCTAAATCAGAATCTAGTTTTTTTTTCTTTCTTATTTATCGAATTTTTCCATAAGTAACACTTCGAGCAGTGCAAGCTCTGCTTGAGAGGGAAGAGGAGGAGGATGGAGAGGCGCTAGCCTGTGGGCTGTCGTTCACACAGAATCCCAGCATGGTATGGGTTGGAAGGGCCCTCTGTGGGTCATCTAGTCCAAGCCCCCTGCCAAAGCAGGGTCACCCAGAGCAGGCTGCCCAGGACCTTGTCCAGGCGGGTCTTGAATATCTCCAGAGAAGGAGACTCCACAACCTCCCTGGGCAGCCTGTGCCAGGGCTCCGTCACACTCAGAGTTCCTTGCTGTGGAAGCAGATTCCTGGTTCGAGATGCTTGGAGTGTGAAGAGCTGTCTCAGCTCTGCATTTGCCCCCTATTGCTGGTCTTGCACAGCCTCTTTGCCTGTCCGCTAATCTCCCTGTTGCGCTTCCTCCACAGATTATAACGGGAGAGCTCTACCGTGTCCACTACCTGAAGGAGAAGTCGCGCTCCTTTATCCAGAACCCCTACGTGGCAGCTCTCTACAAGCAGGTGGGCTGCTTCGTTTTTGGCTGCGCCATCAGCCAGTCCTTCACAGACATTGCCAAAGTGTCCGTCGGGCGCTTGCGGCCGCATTTCCTCGAGGTTTGCGATTTGGATTTCTCCACCATCAACTGCGCGAAGGGAGTTTACATCCAAAACTACACCTGCAGGGGAAGCGACAGCAAGGTCCAGGAAGCCAGGTGAGAGCCCGTGGGCGTCGAAGCGATGGGTTGCTGCCACCGAAATGGTGTCTCACACGAAATGCGTCTTGGGGTTTCTCTGCCAGCAATAGATGATTCAGACACTGCTTTTTCTGCGAAGGCTGTGCTCCGTCTGCCAGTGACGGGCGGTTTCCCTTGGGAGCTGCGGGACTCGGCTGAATGATATGTCTTTTCCTTTCTCTTTCCTCCTGCACTATTGTTTTCCCGAGCGGTTGCTCAATGTGGGAGTTCACCCTAAGAGCTGAGCTCGTGGTGAGCATGTGGTGGAGCACAGGGCTTCTCCTCTGAGGAAGAGGCTGTGCGCTGGCAGGGCTATCAATGCCTCCCCTTCAAGCTCTATCGAATCCGTCGGATGCTCAGTTTTGACATTTCCAGGGGCACATTTCACATGTTGCAATTAAGCAACCGGAGAAGTTGCTCGTTTCTTATTTCTTTACGGTTTCCTGGTTGTTTGAGGCGAGACGATGAGTTATCGGGCTGTCCTGGAAATAACTGCTGTCCCATGAGTAGACCAGGAAGGGACGAACAATGCGAGCATCCTGCCCACCCGTTCGCTTTCTGCCTCGCTAGCGAGCAGGGCGGATAACAGGGGTTTAGAACCCAAAAGACTGGGGGTTGTGGTTCCTTCTGCTTCGGCAACCTCTCAGTAGCAGCAAGCAAGTCACCGTATTGCACGTAAAATTATAATACTGTGTGAGGAGATTATAGTGGCTGGTTCTTAGCACCTGCTTTGTTTTGCAGGAAATCCTTCTTCTCCGGGCACGCGTCCTTCTCCCTCTACACCATGCTGTATTTGGTGGTAAGTAACCACAGCCTCACTTGAAATTGAGCTGCTTTATCCCCTGTCCCCCTTGCCTAAGGTGCTCACCCACATTTGATAGCAGTAACGGAACGAGGAGCCTTGGAGGTGGGGAAGTCAGTTGAAAAAAGGAGCCTGAACTTGCTGGTGGTGGAAGGATCCACTCTCAGCCCCTGTGGTGATACTTGGGATGGAGACTCCAGGGGTGATAGCTGAGCTGTGCAGCTTTGGGATGTAGCCAAGGCCGTGATTAAATCCAAATCCTACTAAATCTATGGACAAACTGTGCAATTCTGTTCACCCCACGTTGTGGTTTCCACTGGGAGGAGTTTGGGGTGAGCCAAAGCACTGCACCGATGGAGAGGGAAGATGCGCCGTTGGGGGGGTTTAGGTTGGTCCCGAAATGTGCCAGCAGGAGCAGGTGGAGCAGCCTCTGCCTGCCTGGATCCGGAGCAGAGGGCTGGGACTTGTTTTTCTTTCTCAGTGAGAAATGGCTCTACCCTTCCTGCGCCGGGGCTGGGGCTGGGCTGGCTGCCAAGGTGCTTCCTTCCTGCCGGAGCTGGACCCGCACGCAGCCGTTCGGGAGCATCAGGAGAGGGATTTACATTTGTTTGTTGTGTTTTTTACAAAAATCATCATTTTTTAAAAAAACTCAAGGGAAAGGTTTCAGCTTCCTTTCAAGGATTTGTGTCCCCCATCTCTTGTTAGCTCAGGCTAGCAAGCGAAGAAACAGCATGGAGCTGATAAAAACATTAAACATAAACTTTTATCTGTCAGCAGTGCTACCCCCAGCCCTTTACCCTCTGAAAAGATAAGTTGTCGCTGCCCCTCCTGCCTTTTCAGCCTTGGATCCCCTCTCCCTGTGATCAAATTCTGTAATTTAATTGCTTTGCTTTCCAGTCAGTTGGGGGTGGCGTATTAAATTCTTTCTTCGTTTTCCCCCTTTATTAATTCCTGGAAAAACTTTTGGTTTTTTCAGTAAACATTTTGGCCGTTTCCTCCCAGCTGCGTTACAATGCAGAGCTGCCCCAGCGCTGCTCTGCAGGAGGCTCGGCCCCTCCGCCGCTGCCATCGTAAAACTTTGAGCTGCGTTTGGAAACCGTCGCTTGCGCCGGCATTTATTTATTTCCGAGGAGATCTGAGGGCAGTCAGATAAATCGGCCCCGAGATGCTTTGGAGCCTGGCATCCGGAAACAGCGAGGGCTGCCAGTCTCCGAGTCGGTGGTGGTTTCTCTCCAAATCCTCAGCAAGATTTGAGTTGTCCTTGCAGGAGTGTTTTTTTTAGGAGATGCTGCTCCAGGACCCTTTTTGGAAGCCAAGCCTGATGCTGACCTTTTGCACAGGATCGAGCCCATCAGGATAGGGGACAAACCTTGGGCAAGCGCTGGCCCCGTCCCCGCATCTCCACCCCGCTCACCTCGGCAGTGGCTGCCCAAAGTCGCCTGGGCTTGACCCCATTTCCGCAGGGCGCCGTGCAGACCGCGTTGCTTCATCAGGGTTTTTTCTGTGTTTTTCTGGAAAGCCAGCGGTTACGGAGCAAGGGAGAAACCAACGACAATGCCGGTGCCTGGGGGGGCTGGTGGCAGGGGGTGCGCTGGAGACCCCAAAACTGCAGCGTGCAGGCAACGTTCCCGTGGGATGCATGGAAGAACTTGCATGGCTCGTTTTTCAGCACTGTTTTGCAGCGATTCCCGCTGCCTGGATTTTCTTTTTAACTTTGCAGCAGGCTTCAAAAGTAGCACTAAGCTCCTGCGTAATGCTGCGGAGCAGAAAACTGATCTCTCTTTGCCCTTCCCCGTCCCATATGGGAGTGGTCAGGCTATGAGCAGCCTCTGTCCTTCTCCCTGCCTGATCTGGGACAACAGCCTGCTCCACTTATCCCTCTCCATGGAAAGTTTTTGATGCCCAGTCCCTTAAGAACTATTTTAATTCATTTTTTTCCTTGTCGCAAAACTTGGTAGCAAGCTCCATCTGACCAGCTGCTCGGTTTCCTTGTGCCTTAGAAAGTCAGGGGAAAAATGATACCAAGAGTTTGGTCATCAACTGAAGGGAGAGAAAGACAACTTGAGGCAAGACAGTGTGATGCGGTGCGTATCGGAGGTGCGGAAACTGTGATCTTAAGGATCTTTTCCAACCTGAATGTTTCTGCGATTCTAACTTGTGTCGCAGCACCCTGCTGTCCATCAGTCCGGCTCCCTGGCCACCGCCAGAGCCCGAATTAGAAATCTCAGAGTAAAAAGGAGGCTGATACAATACCCAAAAATAATTTAAAAAATGGAAAATAAACCCTGCCACCTTGCCCAGTTCACTGGTTGAGTGGGTTTTTGGAAGCCTGGTTGGAAACATGGCATCTACGAAGCCACCGCCTGCAGGAGGTGGGTTTGATGGATTTAATCAGGGCATCACCTCGATCAAAACGAAATGGTTGTTCTCCGGTGCCTGGGAAGCGAGGGCTGTGCCGCAGCAGGTTGCTGCTGGTGCTTTGGGTACTGGGAGTTTGCTGGGAGCCTTTGCAGAGTGGGGATATTTGTGGGGCTGAGCAAGTGCTGCAGACGCTTGGCCGATCAGCCATGTCCTGAGCGCATTCCCTGTTGAACAATACTTCATATTTCAAGGATATGTCACTTCCCGTCTTTCCTGGCGTTCCCTGGCTTTGCTGTTGGAGCCCATTTGGAATTACAGTGTTTTCAAGTTTACCTCACCTGATGGAAACGGGTGCCAGAAAGCTTTGGTCAGTCTGTTAAAAGAAACCTGGATTCCCACGCGTCCCACGGGGCTTTGCCTGCGCCGTGGGGCTGGATTTGTCCAAGCCTTTGGTGGCCGGTGGAGGGGTGACCACGACTTCTCCGTCACCCAGCACAGCAGCAGTGCCCTGCAGTATCCATCAGGGAGAAGCAGTTTGGCCCTGGACTCCTGGTAGGAAAACGTGGATAGATGCCAAGCCCCGGAGGGCCTTGGGGGAAAAGTCCCAGGGAAAGGCACTTGCAACACAGTAAAATCTCCTGGGAATTAATTCTAAATGCTGTAAATTCAGGGCTAAGTTTCTCGCAGCCTTCTTGTCACCATGAATACCCAATTAACATCAGGCCTTTGTATAAAAAATTTAAAAGGGGAAATTACGCTTGGGTAATCCTCTTTGTCTTAATTTTCCTTGCTTTGTTGCTTCTTGGCTGAGCAAGCCTGTAATGCATATTTATAGCAGGCTGCGGAAGGAGAAGGTATGTACCAGCTTATTCCACACAGCCCCCTGGACCTGACCCACACCTCTTGGTTTTGTTTCACTGGACGTGGGGCGTCTTTGCAGAGAGTGGGGGGGGGCTTTCCACTCCCCTAGAGCATGTGAGACCATAGTGCTGATTTATTATTTTTTTTTAATGGCACAAAGTTGCCTGAAACCACACAGAGGATGCAGAAAGACTAAATTAATATCAGAAAAGCTGAATTAATATCCCTCAGCAATGCTGGCTGATTCTGGATAAGAGAGTGGTAAAACAGGGCAGATCGTGTATTTAATGTGCGTTCATGGATGAGGCTGAAGACTTCAGATAGAATGGGTTTTAGTGTGTACTACTCATTTTATATAAAAAATTGGAGGTGTTGCTGGTTTTGTGTATCTGGGCAAGCGTGAAGCTTTGCACTGGGGTTTCTTGCTGAAGGGTGAAGAAGGTCCCAGTGCCCTCATGCTGCTGAGTGATGATGTGCCCGTGCGAAGGAAACTCCGTGGTGGTTATGGACTTGGAGTCAAGTTTAGCGGTGACCTAAGTGAATAAACTGGAATTATATCAGAGGCCAGGGCCGAGGTGTGAACTGCATTGCTGAACTGATGGGGTTATTCCCGACGGGGTGGGAGGATGCTGTACACGCAGCGAAGGCAAGGAGGAGGCAAACAACACATCCCTTTGGTGCTGGGAGGTCTTTGCCCTTCTCCTGTCCTTGTCCCCTGGCCAACTTGGTGCTAAAAGCCAATTCTGCAGTTCCCCTTTCTCCAGCTGGCTTTGCCCAGCCAGGACAATGCATTATGCCGAGATGGGTTTGGGTTTGAGGGGGTTTTGATCCCATGTTGCTTTGGGTACCACTCTGCTTGCAGATGGGGCTGGGGCTGGGGCTGGAGGTAGCTTCAGGTCAGGCTGTCGGAAGCAAGACAGACAGTCAGAAGCAAGACCAGCCATTTCCCAGAAGGAAGCCTTAGCTGTGAGTAAGGGATGTGGTTGATGGAGTTCAGCCTCGCGGCGGGGAGCATGTGAGCAGGATGGGATTTCTGGGTGGCAGAAAGCCCGGGGAGGCTGGAGGTGATGCTTTCAGCCTGTGTTCCCCGCCAGCTCCTCCTCGATGGCTTTGCTTGGGGGTTGCGTGCGGCCACGGGCTGTCCCCACCAGCACGGTGGAAGTCCCCTGGCAGAAGTGTGGTGTGACGTCCTTCAAGCCATCTGCTTTGTGGTAACGCGATCTCTGCCAGGAGTCAGTGGACAGGAGCTCCAAATAACTCCTGCTCTGCACAATTCCGTTTCATTTCACCCACCCTTGCTCCTGTTGATGCTCCTTCTGACTTTTGTTGCCCTGTGATGGTCTGTGGTGGAAATAACCCCAGTTGTAGTCTTGCTCCTCCATCCGCTCCCAAGAAGGGCTCCCTCCAGCCCCACATTCCCATCCAAATCTGGCAGGCCTTTGCAGGCAGCACTTCAGATTTGCTCCCAGGTTTCAAAAAAACCCATCAAAACCAGGTTTTCAGACAAATTGCCAGGAACTTCCCATTTTTTAGTAATAGCACTAATTCCTGTTTTAGGGAAATTGTCATCCTTTCAGCCCCCACGCCCCCCCTTTTGCTTTTTGACCTTCTCTTATTAGCTAGGTTTCTCTTTCATACTGAGGGCAGAGGCAAAGTTTGGAGCACCCTGAGGCTCGCCTCTAGAGCCCTGAGGGGGTCTCAGCACCCTGATGTTTGAGCACAGTTTTCAATGCGCTGCATGCTGACAGTATGCCTATGGAAGAAGATAAGTGTCATTACCCTCCTTTTTTTCTTTATTTCTCTTTGTGAACAGGGAATTACAGAGTAATTTTTCCTAAGACTTTCATTGCGGTAGTAAAAGCAGCTCGGTTGAGATCCTTACACTGCTCGTGCGGTGTCCGAGATGGATCTGTTCGGGTGGGTTTTAATCCTCCAAGGTGCCCAGGTGTGGGCACGAGTCGGGTGCCAGGGACTGGGGCGGCACCCAGCACACCCCCCCCATGGTGCCACGCTGCCTGTGCCCCCCTTTTCCAGGACCAAAGCGTGGAGATCAGGCACGCTTTTCCGAGCTGGGTGTTGGGTGGAGCGAGTCGGTGTACAAACACATTTATTTTTTTGATCGCTTCAGCATTGAAAGTGTCCGCTTTCTAGCGTGTCCACACTCAGGGTTAGCTTTTGATTCTTGATTTTTAATTGATACTTTGCTTCCTCAGCTCTAGATAACCTGTCTAGTCCGAGCTTGTGGGATGGAATGGTTTGAGGGGATGTCAAGGCTGCACAAAAGGGACAAATATCAGGTTATTCAGCAGCAGATTTCTTAAGGGGTTTGATGTGACAGAGCCTCAAGACTGAAGGTGTTGGGTTTCAAGTCTTCCTGGTAGAACTAGGAATAATAGTTTATAAGGTACAATACTTCGAGCTAATTTTGCTCTGCAACAACAGACTGGAGCCTGAGTTTTGCACTGTCACATGGGCTGGGCAGAGACTCTTGAACGTGAAAATAATCCGGAGCTTAAACCACGGCAGTAGAAGCATGTTTGAATATCTTTTGTGTGTTTTAAGAATGCTGCTCTCCGCAAACGCTGTTTTTTCAAGGGACATTGTCTCTATGCTGAGAAGTTGCATTTAAAAATATAATGTCCCCAAACTCTCTCTATCACCACCTTCCCTGAACACTTCCCAGGAGTATCTTGCCTGCACAGTTTATTCTCGGTGACGGATCACTGGGTGCACAAATCCCATGGCAATGAAAATTCAGCCAGCCTAAGCACTGCAAACTAAAAATGCAATTCCTTGCTAGTGAACCGCATAGATACCTGCTTGCAGGATTGCTGTTAAATCACTGCCAGTGACTGTGCGGGATGGGCTTGTGCTATTTTACAGCTCCAGCTTTTAAGCCCCGTGGTGGCTGCATTTTACCTGGAGGGAAAGCACCTCCTCATTGCTGGTGGGTTTTTTGTTATTTTTTTTTAATCCTCCTGGGCAGAACATGCCTTTTAATTTTTACAACGATGATCGCTGTCTTGTTTTTCTCCCAAGCGTGGAAATTGTCTGTTTCTAGAGGAGCAGCACGGTGGTCTGTTTGCTGGGCGACGTCGGCGTGGGTTTGCTGTGGGGGTGCGGGGAGCCGTGACTCGTCCCGTAGCATCGCCTGCACCGGCGCGGGGCGTGCGCCGCGGTGACGTGGCTCCGTTCCTGGACCGGGGCTGGTTTGTAGATGTATTCCCCAGAATCGTAACATGCGTTAGCCGTCACCGAGCTGCTTTGGTACTGCTCTCTTGCATGTTAATTGGCTAACAATTTGGATAATTTGGAGCATCTGCTCCATTCACATGGCATGATGTTTCATTTCCTCTGAAGAGCCCAGTGTGTGTTCTTTCCAAAAAGGGGTAAATGTAATGTTTGTGCAACAGCCAAACTAAATTGGCCAAAATTATGCTTCCCCCTTATCAGCTTTCCAATTAATTCCACTTTTATAGGCAAATGGTGTCATTAAGTTATTTGTGGTTTCAGGGAAACGGGCGAGAGCTTCATTCCCTTTTATATCAAGGCAGTGTGAAGTGCTCTGAGTGTGTAAAAGGAATTGTAAATGGGTGTTAAACCCCTTTCCAGCCCTCTGATGTTGCAGAGTCCCACGAAGCAACACTGGGCCTGACTTCCAGCGCTTCATTTCAGAACAGGCAGAAAATACCCGCGGCAGCTGAGCCCACGGGCGGCGGATCCAAGCCGCGGGAGCCAAGCGGTGTTTTCCCGGCGCTTTTATGCACTTGGAGGGAATGTGGGGCGCGTGAACAGTGTGTGATTTGTGTCTGTAGCCTATCCGAATAAGCGTGATCACGTGTACAGATATGGAAAAATGTATACAACCACGCAAGCAGAGCAATAAAGTGAACTGACTGTGCATTGCATCAATGTGTGAAAGTTGTTCCTGTCCCTGCACGGATGCTGAAACTCAGCAATGTCTGATTTAGGAACATTTTCTGCTACACATGGGAAGGAAGAGATATATCAGTACAGTTACAAATTCAGACTCTTGTGTTTATAACATAGAGGACAGTTACAGGAAAACAGTTACAGGAGGTCTGTGAAGATGATGAGGGGACTGGACCATCTCTCCTACAAGGAAAGGCTGAGGGAGCTGGGCTTGTTTAGGCTGAAGAAGAGAAAGCTGAGAGGGGATTTTATAAATGCTTATAAAAATCTTAAGGGTGGGCGTCAAGAGGATGAGGCCAGTTTTCAGTGGTGCCCAGTGACAGGACAAGGGGAAATGGCACAAACTGAAGCATAGGAAGTTCCATCTGAACACGAGGAAGAACTTCTTTACTGTGAGGGTGATGGAGCACTGGAACAGGCTGCCCAGGGAGGTTGTGGAGTCTCCTTCTCTGGAGATATTCCAGAGCCGCCTGGACAAGGTCCTGTGCAGCCTGCTCTGGGTGAGCCTGCTTTGGAAGGGGGGGTTGGACTAGATGACCCACAGAGGTCCCTTCCAACCCCTACCATTCTGTGATTCTGTGATGGCAACGTCAGAGGATTGGATTTTCACATCCACGTCATCAGCAGTTGCGGCTGCATCTGGAGATCCTTGGGGCTTCTCTGGAGGTGTGGCATGCTGCGATGATGCCTGGTTTTCTTTCAAGTGATGCCGTGGGTCCTGCGTGCCCCAAATTTGGGGCCTTGCTTCTGTTACATACTGAATAGTGGTGGGGAGGAATGTCCTTACTCAGCCCAGTGTGATGGTGTGGGTGACCTTGATGGACTTAGTGACTGAAGTGGGGCCAGAGGGTGAGCTGGGATACAGAGGGTCCCAAGCTCCTGGCCCTGGCTCACCAAGGGAGGGCTGTGCCCGCGTGCCTTTGCCCTCACCCCCTCTATGGGGTGAATCCCACCCGCTCCGCTCCCCTCTAGCAGGCATGGTGGTCTTGGGTTGACGGTTGGACTTGGTGATCTTGGAGATCTTCTCTAACCTTAATGATTCTATGACTCTCTGCATGAAGGAGGCCACACGTTTGAAAAGACCATTCTTCTTATTTGGCAGGTCCGCTTTTCATGAGCCACGGGGGTGCAGGTGCCCCATGGCCAGCCCCACAGAGCAGTGGCTGCCATGCGTGCGTGTTTCAGGTGCAGCTTCTCCTTTGCTGCCTTCAAATTAACACAACCTTTTCTGTTTTCCTCTCTTCTCCGCAGTTTTATCTGCAGGCCAGATTCACGTGGAAGGGAGCCCGCCTGCTCCGACCCCTCCTCCAGTTCACCCTCGTCATGATGGCGTTTTACACCGGCCTGTCCCGCGTGTCGGACCACAAGCATCACCCCACCGACGTGCTGGCGGGCTTTGCACAGGGAGCCCTGGTGGCTTACTGCGTGGTGAGTGCAGCAAACTGCGCCAGGGATGCCGGCGGGGGTCCCGGGGGGAACGGGGGGCACCTCCCCAACCCACGCTGCTGCCAGCTCACGT